TTTTTATTATAGTTTTATAAATATAAACTGTATTTTATATATCACAAAATATTAAAAAATTATATGTTTTCAGTATTGTAAGTAAGTTAAGTTTAGTAAAAGCAAATCTTTGCCTTGTCTTACTGAGTAGGGGCAGGTCTTGGTAAGAAATGGAAGGTGGAAATATATGTAGCTGAAGATGTGAATGCTGAGAAAGGGATGCTCAAAAATACATTGGATATAAGAGTAAATATGCTCAAATTTAGCATGTAGCCTAAATCTTCCCCCGTGTGTTCTTTGTGCTTAATTTTTGCAATTCCCTCGCATTCTAACTAGAGATTTTCTTCTTTCTAGAATTCTATGAAGAAATTCTTTCACTGGCATATAGTTTAACCTGCCATGGTATTTCCCCTCAAATGTGGCAGCTTCTAGGTATATTATATAAGGTGTTTCAGCAGGATTGTTTTGAGTATTTTACAGGTATGGCTTTGACCATGTAACATTTTTGCTTTTCTGTGTCCAGATATTGTTTTCTTTGACACTTGAAGTAGAGACATAGATGATTCCAGTATTAATCAGAAAATAATTGTTGTTGTTACCCTGTCGAGTAAAGGGTGTGGCTATCATAGCAGTGTTTTTCAGCCTCAGGAATATGGGCAACTGTATTTCCAATTGTATCTTAAATTAGTTTGCAATCAGAGCATATTTTCCATACATGAATACAATTAATATTTTCTGGGTACTGACTGTATTCCAAGCACTGTTCTAAGCTTAGCAGTACATCAGTGAGTTAAATAGCCCTTGCTCTTTTGATGTTTCCATTCTAGTGAGGGGAGAAGGGAAGTGGGGAAATACACAGACAAGAGAATATGCAGCGTGTCAGATGGTAATGAGTGCTATGGAGACAAGGAAGAAATTCAGAGCAATCACTTCAATAAATGATGAGCACTTTAATCTTTCTGATCCACATTTTCCTCATCTATAAATAGGGCAGATTTATCACTTTTGTTTCTAGCATTTTGTGGTTGCAAAGGAAGATAGTAATGTGTGGGTGTAACAGAAATGTGGTTTCAATGGGAATAATTTATTTCTACTCCTGTTACTCATGTCTCATTGGGATTTTGAATTTTTTTTCCAGATATGATGCCTCTCCTGCATAATTATGTGACAATAGATACGAACACTTTACTATCAAATCCAAAGCATTTAGAAATACTTTTTACAATGTGTAGAAAGGTAAGCGTGTCTTAATCAGTTGTTTTCGTGGTTCTTACTAATATTTGAGTGTTTTACTGCAGGACATTCTCAATTTGTTTCCTATACATTTAGTTCTGTATTTCCTTCATCAAC